ATCCCCTATTTATTTATGATACTCATTTCATTTTTAGTCATTGGGATTAAAAAGAATACTAATTTTGGTGATATAATAATTTGAATGCATAAAACATATTAATATTAAAATTATTTATTTATTTTGTTGCGTACTTTATACATTATAAAAAACTAAAAGATTTGATTGCATTGTGTTTAATGATTATTGTAGAGCCATAACTACATAGCAATTTCAATATATTAATATTGTCAAAATATTCTTACAAAATACTTTTTAAAATATTTTGAAGCAAATATTGTGACAATATCTCATAAATATAATAAAAAATATATTCTATTGAAATATTTCCATAATATGTTCACAAAATAATTTTTAAATATTTGTTTATGTATATTTTGAGAATATATTAAAGAGAATAAATACAGTATATTACACTGAAAATATTTCTACAATGTGCTTAAAAAATATCTTTTTAAATATTTGCTTATAATTATTATGAAAATATATTGATTAGAATAAATATAGAATATTTAACTCATAATATTTGTTGAAAATATTATCAATATCATTTTTTAAATATTATAAATATATATCTTGTTGGCCAACTGAGGTAACTTAAAAAACACAAGCCATCCTCTTTTCTCCCTTTAGTTAAATCTTTGGATGTTATTGGTATCTAGTTATATAATACTTATATATTATATATACATATTCCCAAATCTTTAATAAGTAAACAGCCATTTTCTCTAATAAGTATCAATTTTAATTAACCTAATTCAATTAAGCTAAGTAAGTCAGGGACAGTAAAAAAACCCTTGATGCTATTATTTGCAGGCCTATCGAATTAAAATTTTTTTAGTTTTATCAGCGCAATTATATCTTATTATAGTCCTGTCAAACTTAAAATCCCAAAAAGTTTTTTTATTATAGTTAGAATATATTTTTATATTATCAAAAATATAGGTCAACTTCTCACTTACAAGGAGCGATCATGGTGATGGGATCGCAGATTTTCAAAAAAATTATATAAAACTAATCTAAATTGAATATAAAGTTGTATTTACTTTGAATTTTTTTAAACGGAAAAAATGACTTAACAGACAAATAACCATTTGAACTGCCTTAAATAGCCTTTTTTAACCTCTCACAGTCGTAGCAACCTATAGGTCAATTGGTAACGCACGAGTTAAAGCACTTGAAGTACGGGGTTTGAATCCCGCGAAGTATGCTTGTTTTTTGCATATTTTTAATATATCCATAAAACATTTTAAAAATATTTTTTTAATAATATTTTAGAAATATACCTTTAAAATATTGTGAGAATGTAATATTCGCTGCCAAAGTATATTCCGAGAACATTGTGAGAATATTTCAAAATATTTTGATTGTATTCTACAAATATTTAAATATCAAAAATAAATATTCTAGGAATATTCTAGAAATATTTCATTGCTATGTGGGTAGCTGGCTAGACAGAGCACTTGTACAAAATAATAAATAACATTTTAATTAACCATAGGTGTTCTACAAAGTATCTCTCAACTAACCAGTCTGATTTCAATCATTTTTCGGAAGTGAATAATGCAGGTAATCGGAAGTTCAATTTACCTCATATCTATTGTTCAGTATTTTTGGATTTAGAATAATTGTGTGTATGGTTTTGGTGCATGACATAATGTGTGATACTAAAGAATATGTCAGCCAGGCACGTAGACATGAGTGGGCCTGGCCCCCATTAGATTTAATGTGGTCCAGGGCCAGCCCCCAAAATTTAAAATTCAATTATTTTTACGAATTATCAAAAATGTGCTAGGCTTTATATACATTGGAATTATTATTAATTTGTGATTAGTATTGAGTAATACAGTTATTATTATGGCTGTATTTTCATTTTTATATTCATAGAAAACGTTATTTGAAAAAGATAACGTTCTAGACGTAATAATAAATGGAATAGCAGTTACTCCAAACGTGGTTGTAGGTAAATTTTTTTTAACTTTGGTCCAAAAAATGATAACAAACTACCAACTATCTGCATTGATTAGAATCTAGTTAATTACAAAATTCGATAGAGTATACTATATGAAAAATTTTTTGATAAATCTTATCTTTAATTTGTTTCTTTTTTTGTAATTTTGTAGTTACAATAGATAATTTATTTGTTTTTGTTAACTTTTTATTTGCGTGCTCTAAATAATAGTAATAAAAATATGACTAAAAAAAGGCAGGAATTGTTTTTAATTTTAAATAAAATAAATTTTACATTGTTTATAATTTATATTTCTTTTAAAAACAAATAAACAAATTTATTTGTTATTAGTATTTAGATATAAATCATTTTTTCTTAATAGCTTAAAAGTTGAAAAATTAAATCAGCTTATGTTCTTATCATTATTTTATTAACTTCGATGCGAAGCTGAGAAGGTATTGGTTTTACTATGATGTTTTTTTTTATTTTTTTTTTTTGTTTCTGTTACCACTTTTTCTCAGACTAACCTAACCGATTTCTTTCAATGATACGTCAAAAGATCACAAATCGTATCTAGTCGAAGACATTACCCTCAAAAATTGAAAAAATTTCCTTCGTTCCCCGTCAATGGGAGAAACCCCTCAATAAATTACAAATTTAAAAATCGCTAATTTTCGAAATTTTTTCAATTTTTTTTACTTTAAATTGCCATAACTTTTTTATATAGATGCATGATATCGTTACTTTTCATTTGATATATTTTTTTTATAAATCTGACCCTTTACCTGTCCACGGGGGATTTAAAATGACAACTTTTTCACAAAAAATTAACTTTTTCCACTTAAATTTTCAAAATGTTCCGGAAAGTCTGACACTTTTATCTATATCGTAAATTATAGCTAATGTAATGTACTTTTTTATTTTAAATAAATTCGGACTTTATTTTGTCTTCACGATGAAAATGGCTACCAAATGCTATTTTTGTGTGAAAATTCTCGATTTTGTTGACTGGTGGTCAAAATCCGAACTATACCTCAAAGTCTCCAAAATTATCTTATTTACAATAAGCTATATTTTACGAGATAACAAATAGTTAAAAAGAATTTTATAACTCCAGTAACTAAAAAATCATTTATCTAGGTTTAGCGGTAGTCGAGTAAGAGCAACATAAATGAATGAAGACTCTTGAATCTCCCTGAGTGCTAATAAAGAGATGAGTAAGAAGGTGCGAGTCTTATTTAAATATTATACCAATATAAATATCATGTTTTATAAGTTGAGAAATAAATTACAACAAATACATTTTTAAAAATCCCGGCATAGTGGGAACGTGGCATAGTTGGGTCCAGTATAGATTTAATCTGACTTTGATTAAAATCACTATCATAAGAAACGCTTCAATGCAAATCTGTAGATAATGTTATTCCTAAGAAATTGATGGATAATTACAAAAGCAACATCAACTATTTCCTTAATTATATATAGATTAGTAATTCTTAGATTCAAAAATATAATATAAAATTATATATTATATAATTGTTACATTGAATTGTTTTCCAATTATTATTGATTTTGATTTTTAATATGTTAAAAGTAATAATTTTTAACCTACTTTATTTCGTCCTTTAAAGTGAAAGTTTATAATGAAAACAAAAATGAATATATTGCCATAACTTTTAGCTCAACTTAGAAGTTTGAAATTGACATTATTAAATAGAAAAAATTGAAATTGTTAAGATTAATATACAGTCAGGAAATTTTATAATTATTATTTTCAGTCAATTTATCAGAAAACTTCGTTTATTTTCATTTTTATCGTTATAGATCACTTAAATAAAAATCATAGTAATCATTTCTAATTAATTTTTGGTGTTTAAGAAGATTCTAAAATGGAAATATTCAGAACTTAATTAATTTTAATGATTTACTTTAACTAAAAGAAACAAAAAAAAAAAAAGTTGTTGAAAAGATTTACTTAATTGAGCATCTTATAAAATTTGATTATAATTGTAAAAATCCATCGCTAAATTCAGGTGAAACTAAAAATCATTTTTTTTTTTTAATTTATGATTTATATAAAGGCGCATTTTCCTTCAGTTTGGAATTTAATTAAAAAGTGTTATTGGATGAATACGTGAATGCAGCCATGCTGATAATGCAGTTTGGAAAATGTGATTTTTCTAAGTCGCACCCGAACACAAACTTAAAACGGAGAAAAGGTACACTACAAAAACTCTAACCAGTTACGGTATACGTCGAAAACGGAACAGAACACAATATCAGTAATCCATATTCGGCGGCGGCCTTATCTCAATGTCAAAGGCGGGGAGACAACCGATGACAACCGATTGTCATATTAATAGCTGGACGGCTGATATCGAGAGAGACACGGACGAGCGCCAGCCTAGAGCAAAAGGCGGTGCCGTGTCACACAAATAGAGTTGAAAAATTAATTAATTACAAAGTAAAATTATTTACTTTTGTAGTTGAATACTTTCATCATATCAATCTAATTCGACAATAAATACTTTAAAAATATTAGAAATGAATAATCTTGATTGTTTGTATGAAAAAAGCTGGTTAAGCTACTTTGAATTACTATAATTTTTTGAAAAATGTATGAATCAATACACATTTAAAAAAGTTGCTATTTTAAATCTCCCTTGTGAGTAGAATAAGTGTTACATTTTCAAAAAAATTATATCAAATGAAAGGAAATTACCTAAGGTTTCAATATAAAAAAATATTATTTTGTTTTTGTTGAAATTTCAATAAGTTATGGTAGTTTTAAATACAAAAAACATCACGATAGGAGCTGATTTTTTTTGCAAATATTACATTTTTTGTTTAATTTTAGTGGCAATTTACTCATAGACGAGTCGGGACAAAGAGAGACATAGAGGTGTCGGGACAATTTTTTTTTTCAGTTTTCAGTCCAAACCTTTAAAGGACGCAGTATTTCTGGAACATTTTCAAAAGTTAAGTTGAATAAGTTCTATTTTTATACAATGTTTCAAGTTTTGAACGCCCCCCATAAAAGGGGAAATTGCAAACATTTTAATAAAAAAAAGTATGTCAAATGAAAGATGTACTTATAATGTATTTAGAAAAAAAAATTTGTAATGACACATACATTTTTCGAAAAGTTATAGCAATTTAAAGTTAAAAATTTAACATCGAAAATCGAAAATTTTAACACAAAAATACCATTTTTTTAACTACGGCAGCCGTTTGTATGCAGAAGATAAAGTGTCGATTTTCAAAAAAATAATGACAAATGAAAGAAAAATATCTAAGGCTTTAATATAAAAATAAAATTATGTTGAGCTGTTGATTTTTTAAAAAGTTATAAGAAAAAAAAAATGAAAAAAATAACAAAATTTACCGATTTTAAAATTTGTAATTTTTTTAGAGATTTTCTCAATTTGCGGGGAACGAGGGAAAATTTTTAAATTTTTAAGAATAATGTCTTCAACTAAATACAATTTGTGATCTTTTGACGTATTATTGAAAAAAATCGGTCCAGTGATAGCTGAGAAAAAGCGGCAACAGACATAAAAAAAAACAATAAAACACATCATGGTAAAATTAATAACTTCTCTGCTTCGCATCGAAGCTAAAAGTATATGAATAATGTTTATATTAAATTTTTATAGCCTAAATGTTCATAATCATTTTCAATAACTTCATTACAAAATGTTATTATATTTGAATAAAAATGTTTATGAACAGGACCATCATGTTCGGTTGAAAAATTCAATTCATATAGTTTTTTTAATTTTAGAGTATCTGTTAAGTTATCTAAAAATTCACATCGAAATCTCAGGCGACTACCCAATTCACTACGCAAACCTTTTTTAAATTTCTCGTGGGACTTAGATAATTGGTCAAGATATTTTTTTGCTTGTATTTCATTAATCGTTTTGTTATATTCATATGGACCAATATTTAGAGCTTTTAAATCATAAAATAAGTTTGTCATAATAGTTGCTGGTACATGCAAGCAATTATGAGCATTCTTTATATTCTCCCAAATATATAATTTTTTTAGTATTGCCATAGCAGATAATAAGTATTTCAGCATTTTCACAGACAACGATACAAAATTACGCAATAGGTTTACGCAATCTACAGACTGTTTATAATGTATATCTATAGTACTAGGTATATCTTTTAATACTTCATTTCTACATAAGTTCATTATGTTTTTCAATGAACGTTCATAGTATTTAAGTATTTCGGCATACCTACACCTCAATAATTGTTCAAAATATTTTTCATTTTGCTTTAAATTTATAGAATTCACTTTAGTTTTGGATAAAGTACTCGCGTTTAATTTTTCACCATTTTCTAAGACAATATTAATATTTTTAAAAGGATCCTTAAAATGACGTTGTGAAAATAATTTGTTTAGTGCAGCAATCCTATGTTCGGTAACATCAACGTGCAATGGTAGCATAAGTCTATAAGCATAAAATTTTTTCATTGTTTATGATATTGTAATTTTAAAAAATTTTATTAAATTATTATTATTTTTTAATTATACAATTATATAACTTAAAAATAATTTAAATTGTTCTAAAAAGTTCAATAACAAAAACTTTTGACTTTTCCTTTATGGTGGACAAACGATAGATACAAATATTAGAAAAAATGCCATAAGGATTTAAGGTTTGTAAGGTTAAAGATAAATTGAGAATCAATATATATAGTTTAAACATAGCTTTTTTTTTAACGGTTTATAAGAGTATTAAGAGTCGTAGTGGTCTCCCCTAAAAGTGGAGGTTTATTAGCTATTGATACTCCTGACGGGTATCCCGAGAGGCGGATAGCAACTCCAATTACCGAACTGATCTTTTGCTTGGCAATTGAAGCCGCCCATGACTGAGATTTGAACCCAAGGCAGTACGCGTCAAGCCCTGCCGCGTTACAGACACAGACACACCACTCCTTAGTATATATATAATTGTTTTATAAAATTGTATTACATTATTTTTATTTTAAATACACATTAAAATTTCTAAAAAATTAAAAAATTTTTTGAACGGTTCAAGAGCAAAAACTTTCGACTTACTCTTTTTTGTGGATAAAACATGTAAGGTATAAACATAATAAACAAAATACGATAGAAAAATTTTTGGAGTGTAAATGTTTACAGATAAGTTTTTACAATAAATCAAAGAACAATTTTAGTTTTAATGATGTCATTAAACGCTATTTTTGTGTTAAAATTTTCGATTTTCGATTATAAATTTTCAATTTAAAAATGCTATAACTTTTCGCAAAATGTAATTATCAGCACAAATTTTTTTTTTCTAAATACATTATAAGTATATCTTTTATTTGACATAACTTTTTCAAAAATAAACAAATCCACATAATTTTTTTTTTTATAGATGCTTGATGTCATTACCTATCATTGGATATAATTTTTTTGTAAATTTAACCCTTTACCAGCCCATAAGGGGGATTCATAGTGACAACTTTTTCACAAAAAATTAACTTTTTCAATTTATCTTTTGAAAATGTTCAGGAAATACTGACACTTTTATTTATATTTTAAATTAAAGTTAATGCAATGTACTTTAATATGGAAAAAAAGTTTCGTACTTTATTTTGTTTTCATTGTGAAAATAGTTACCGAATGTCATTTTTTTTTGAAAATTCTTGAATATATATTTTACATTTTTAACATTATAATGCTAGAATTCCTGATATTACCCTACTAAGTTGTATAAAAAGTATTGATAATAAGGTACTCTCGGGTAAAGATGATGTGAAAGAAAGGTGGAAAGAGTATTTTGAAAAATTACTGCATGAGGACTACCTAGATGAGACACTAGAGAACATCTCGTGAAATGATGGACTGGTACATTTAATTAGTGAGAAAGAGGCGTGGGAGGCTGTGGCATGAATGAAAAAGAATAAAGCAGCGGGACCAGATGATGTGCCAGAAGAAATATGGAAAATATTAGACGGTTTGGCATAAGGTGGTTGAAGGAACTTTTAAATAAAATCTTATTAGAAGGGAAAATTCCAAATAAATGGAGGAATAATATTGTGGTGCCAATATTTCAAGGTAAAGGAGATATATGACAGAGTACCGAGAGAGGTTTTAAAGTGGGTATTAATGATAAAAAGAGTCCCGAAGAGGTACAATAATATAATAGAAGATATGTATGATGGCACTTGTATCAAAGTAAAAAGCGTAGGAGGAATACCAGAAGGTTTTCGTGTAAGAGTAGGAATGCACCTAAGTTCTACTTTAAGCCCTTACTTATTCTCTATAGTGATGGATGAAATTACTTGAGAAATACAAGGAAAGGTGCCGTGGTGCATATTGTTTGTTGACGATATAGTGTTAATATAAGAAAATAGGGAGAAAATTAATCAAAGGCTAGAGATGTGGAGATCAGCTCTTGAAGAAAAAGGTTTAAGAATAAGTAGAAGTAAGAGTAGAGTATATAGAGTACGAGTTTGACAAAAGAGAACACGAAGTACGTGAAATGAAGAGGTCATTCACGATAGGCGAGGATGTATTGGAAAAGTGGAGAGTTTTAAGTATTTAGGATTAGTTGTGCAAAAGAATGATGGTATTGTCGAGGATTTAAGACATAGAATTAAGTGCTGGTGGTTGAAGTAGAGAAAAACATCTAACGTCTTATGCGATAAAAGAATTCCTATGAGGTTGAAAGGTAAATTCTACAAGACTGTAGTGAGACCAGCTATGAGGTATGGTTCAGAGTGTTGGGCGATTAATAAGAAAGTAGAGCACAGATGAGAATGCTTAGATGGATGAGTGGAGTGACTAGAGAAGATAGGATAAGAAATGAGTATATAAGTGGGAGTATAGGTGTAGTGTCAATCGTGGATAAGATGAGAGAAAATAGACTTAGATAGTTTGGTCATATTATGAGGAGAGGATCTCACGGTAAGATGACTTATCGTCTTACCCAAGTGATGTCCAGTCACGGCTGCTTTAACAAGTACTTACACCGTATGTTCAAAGCAGCCGTGTCGACGTGTGACCACTGTTCGGATGGCCCGGGAGAGGCTGACAGAAGCGGGAATCTTTGAAGGCTCTACGTTCCGAGTCGGGTCCATGGTGGACCTGATGTTGAGGAGTCGGGAGGCGTGGTTGCTCGTCCAGGCGTTCGTCGAATCCAGCTTGTTAAAGAAGGAGGAAGCGGAATGCCTGAAACAATGGTAAACACGCCTCCCGGCACAGGAGGACCTGAGGCGCTAGTTTAAGCTGTAGCTTAGGCTCTTATTTTTGTGTTTTTTTTTGTGAGTTATTTTGCCAATCCTCCTTAATGGTTCCCGCTCTGGGATCCGGTTGACGGGAGGGGGCCATACCACGTTGCGAATCAGCTCTTGATTAATTTCGGCTGATTCATAACGTGGTGGTGTGAATTATTAAGACGACGTGGGCCGCCTTTAAGTAATGCCTAACAGCAGTTCCAGGGTGGCCCACAATAAGCCGATCGATGAAAAAAAAAGGGCAATGTCTTCTACTAGATACAATGTGTGATCTTTTGATGTATTGTTCATAAATATCGGTTCAGTGAGAGCTAAGATTGTGAGGTAAAAGACACAAAAAAATAAATAAATCATAGTAAAATTCTCAGGTTCGAATTGAAGCTAAAAAATGTCTTTAGTTATATTGAATTAAATAAGGTTCTTTTAAACAATATCCAATTTTGAAGAAAAAAAAATTTTATTATAATTTTTAAGGCACAACGAATCTTTGTAAATGATGTTAATTTAAAAAAAAAATTATTGAAAGTAATATTCTTGTTTTAAATTGTACTACAGAAAATTTCATTTTCAACTAAACATTTTTCAAATAGTTTAATTATATAATCTACCAACAAAAATTTTAACTGTAATTATTTGGGTTACTTCTCTTTATAACCGAGTCTGTGGAAAGTTGTTCAAAATAATGATTTTGACAGTGATACATTTTATAATCTTTTGACGTATCGTTAAACAAAATTGGTCTAGTAAGAACAGCAATAATGTGTATACAGACTTAGGAATAACACGGCTAAGAAAAACAATTGTTTTTGAAGTACGTTTTAAAGCTAAAAATAATCATTATAACCTTAATACGAAATCATTTAAGTAATTATTAACTTTACCCGGGTACAGTTGGATGTAATAATTCTTGAAATCCAAGATTATCATTATCATATTTGAGAGCTTCATTATAAAATATTATGAGATCGTCATAAATAAATTGAACAAAACTTTTGTCTAATTCTTGCTGTATCACATATTTATCATTGTACTTTTTTAGCAAATATTTATAAACAATATTAATAGACATATTGTTAGCTGTATCTAAAAATTGAAGATTATGAACCATATCAGTTATTGTAGCATGGAAATGCTTGATACTTAAAAGATCCTTGCATGCATTATTTGTGTCAAAATCACCATTGGATTTTATGTACGTAAACGTATGTGGTTTTGTTTTTAATGAAGTGTATGTCTGAACAATATAAATCTCATTAACTATAGTAATTGGAGCTACATATTCATGAAATATTAATTTGAGTTCTAAGTTTTTGATAAATGATAAAATATCATATAAATTTTTAAACATAGTATTTGAATTACAAACAACATCTTCAATTAATTTTGTGCATTTAATAAATTTTTCAAATAATTTTTTATTGTAATAATTTTCACATTCGCCTATCATCGTCGTAATGTAGCTGTCATATATTTGCAATAATTTGGCATATCTACAGTTCATTGAAATTACTATGGAGTTGAATATTTGAGCATTAATATCTATTTTATCTAATGATATGTTTAGTAATTTTATAGAGTCGTCTGTTATATTTTTATTATGCCATAAATTTAATTTCTCTTGAAGTTGGTGATGATACACAATGTGACTTACTACTTCAACTAAATATAACTTCAAATCATAATAAGTACAATAAATTGTTAAAACATATTTTAAACTCCATAAATTTAAAACACTAAAATAAAATTTTAGATTCATTTTTACTACACAACAGAAACAAAGTTTAATATAAAATCAGTAAAAATTTAAATAACAGTATTACTATAGTATTCACCTTATTCTAAGACAAATTTTATTTAAATAAGTAACAATTATTAGTTCATACAACACTTACTCAACGTTATTTTTAAGTTTTATGACTTTACAGTATCATTATTTTATTTTTAAATTTTCAACATTATAACGTAACACTTGGTTTTATATTGACGTGTCATTTTATTGGGACCGTATACTTCAATACAGACGTTCTTACTAGACTTACTTTACTTAACACTACATCAAAAAATCACAAACATATATAGTACAATATAACAGTTCCAAAATTTAGATCAATTCTCTTCGGTCTCGGAATAAAGAGAAATGTGCAAAAAAAATTATAATTATTGTAAACTTTTTGGTTAAATTAGTCGGTTTTGAAGTTCCGGAAATACGGACACTTATATATATATTAAATGAAAGCTTATGTAATATACTTTATTTGAAAAAAATAATTTGACTTCTGGATATGTCTTCATTGTGAAAATTACTACCGTATTCAAAAATATGTTATTTTTGTGTTAAAATTCTGGGTTTTGTGTTTTATTTTATTTTAAAATACCTGTAAGGGGAGTACATTGATTTTCATAAATACTATATAAATCAAATTGTTATAGCATAGAAAGTTAAACTTAATTAAATCTTTTTGCTTTTTTGAAGTCAAGAAAAATAACTTTGAAATTCAAACTAACTGAAATTGCAATTTTTTTTCAGTCGATGGAAACGATGTACGGTTGCCGAGTCTTACGCGCTTGGGGTACAAGGTTCCAACCCGCGTATAGCATGGAATTTTTTGCATTTTTTTCTTAAATCTTTTTAAGTTAAAATAAATGTTCAACTCATTTGTTTTTTATCAAATTTCAAGAAGAAATTTCTTATTCATATTAAAAATATTTTTACTATATTTTAGGTTTTAGCTTTGATGCACATCTGAGAGGGTATTTCTTTGTGACTATCATTTATTTTTTCTGCTCTAACTTTACCTATTTTTTTCAACGATATGTCAAATGAATGAAATTTGTATCTAGTTGAAGATATTACCCACAAAAATTGAAACAAAATTCTAATTTATTAATTAAACAATTACTTATCCCATGTTCTCCATTCAGACAATTAAAAAGATTCAATTATAATGTTTTCTGGAGTATATTGACAAATCACATACGATATGATAGGTTTCAATTACAAAATTAAATCATTTTACTGTGTAATTAAATAATTTTTTTACTCTATTTGTGTGTGCTACTAGTGAACTATAATTTTCCAAATTTTTTGTTAACATGTTGGTATATAAATCATTTCTAAAAAACCCAGCACAGTGGTATCGCGGCACATTGGGAACATGGCATAGTTGGTACATGTATAAATAATATCTGACAGTGATTAAATTCATTATAATAAGAAACGCTTTGATGCAAATCTTCAGATAGTGTTTAATTCTAAGAAATTGGTGGATAATTACAAAAGAAACATCAACGGGTTTTCAAATCTAAAAAATGCATATAGAAAGTAGAACTTTTTCAACTTATTTTTTGAAAGTGTTCCGAAAAGTCTGACACTCTTATATATATCTTAAATTAAAGCTAATGTAATGTACTTTATTATGGAAAAAAAAAATTCGTACTTTATTTTGTCTTCACGGTTAAATAGTTACTGAATGCTATTTTTGTGTGAAAAATCTCGATTTTATATTTTTAATTTTATAATGCTATAAATTATTGAAAAGTGTATGGATCAATACAATTTTTTATGAGAAATAATATTTATAATTCTCTTTCATTCGACATACTTTATCTTAATCAGGATATAAAAAAGGAAACAGGAGATAATTTGATTTTGGAATAACTCACCAATTTTTTAAAATTAAACACTGTCTAAAAATTTGCATCGAAGCGTTTTTTATGAAGGTGATTTTGATCATTGTCAGATATCATTTTACTTGACCCAACTGTGCCACATCCCCATTGTGCCACGAACCCCCTATGCTGAGATTTTTAATAATATTATTAATGTTATAAATTAGAAGTGATTGAAAAAGTCTAATTGCACATTTGAAACACATAGCAAAATGTTGATTTAGAAAAGTATATTTTTGTTTCTGATGAAAGTCCCTTGTAGTCCAGTGTATAAAACTTATAACTTTGTTAGAAATAAAAAAAATGTTTTATTGAAAAGTATTGCATCAAGCCCTTTAAATTTTTGTACGCGTTAAAAGTAAAGAAATATACAACTACCTTATTATTTTTATAATATTTCTATAAAAATTAGAATATTAAATTATTGAATATCAATTTCATACTAAATTTAATTACTATAATTATTATTTATTCATAAATTATAATTATAAATCAAAATACTAATTGGGATAAAATTAAGGGAATAAGAGTTATTGTTTCTTTTGAAATAATCTAACAATTTCTTAAAATTAAACACTATCTACAGTTTTGCATCGGAACGTTTCTTATGATATTGATTTTAATCACTGCCAGATATCATCTATACTTGTCCAAACAAGCCACTTCCATACTGTACCACGACCCACTTGTACTGCTATTGTTTTATTAACTTTTTTGTTGAGAAGCCAGTAAAATTGAATTAATAAACTCAAATTTTCACAAAATGTCTATTATAATGAATATAATAAAATTAAAAGGGTTCTCATTAAAATGTCGATGATCAACTTTTTTTGACCCATCTTACTGTATATTATATGCTGTACTGAAATTTATAAAAAAAATCATGTCCTTTATTTTTATAATTTGGGTCATTCCACGTGAAATCACCTAATGTGTGTGCTGGTATAGTTCAGAAATTTATGAAATTTATATCATAGACTTCTTAAAGGTCATTGACAACAAAAATAATATTTTTTTTTTTTTATTATTGTTTTTTTACCAGATAGTGCATTTTTTATAATTAAAAACATGAAAAAACAGCCTATGTTCTAGAGTCTATAACTTCACATCCAAATAAGCTATCATTGTGGAACTAGCACTGTTTTACTCATATTAAATAGTACTTCAATTTCATTCTTAAGTTTATGAATTTTGAATTTTTTTGAACATCGAAATTTTGATTTAAATTTTTTAAATTTTGCAGTATTTTAATAGCAAAATTTGAAGGTCAAAAAATTTTTTAATTACAATTTTTTTTTTCTTTTTAGAAACTTTTAGTTATATTCTTTTAACCCATATCATATTTGAATCGGTTTATAATTTTTTTTGTATCGTTTTACGGTCTTGAACACGCGTGGTTTGCTGAAAATAGCCAACTTTATCATCTCATTACACAAAAGTGACTGAACGAATTTTTTTCAAATTTACATAGTACTTACCTTTAGGCAATTAAAACGTCTGGTGAAAATTTGATGATGGAGAAATAATTTTAACGCCACTTATAGAACTTACAAAATTTACAATTTGCGTATTATGGAAAATCCACAAACTACGTAATTTTCAACATTTAATTTTTATTTTTTGCATTTATTCTGCACGAAAATAAAATACTACATACCTTTGTAAGCAACTATTTTTAAAATTACTGTTCTTGTTTAGTACTAAGGAAAGTATAATGTCGATGGGTTGTCTTTATTATACATAGGGTATTAATTTTATCATATTACTTATAGTGACTTTTGTATCAATTTCTTCATGTAATATGACAATGTTAAATAGCATTTAAAACTGGTTATCTATTTTTATTAAATATAACAGGATTGTCCATATAAAATGACAATTGTGTTTCACCGAGCAGTCAAGTCAATGTGTAACTTTTATTGTTGTGACTAGTAAATTGTGTGTTAATAAAATCGATTTTAACTATTGTTTTAGATTATAATTAGTTTAAATTTATTATTATGGAATGCTCAGTCGGTATAGCAGTGAACGAAGAGTGTCACAAATCGGTTTACGGTGTTAATAATCAATTATTATTAAATATTTTTGATTTTTCTAATGAAAACCAACAACTCCTTGCTTATAGAATAAACTGTTCTTTAACTACAATTTGTGAGTATCACAGTAAAAAATATTTAGATTATTTTTATTTTGTGTTCGGTAGAAAATGTTCTGATCCATTTAATATACATAAAATAACTGTCCGCAAAGGTCTAATTGAAATAAAACTACAAACTGTTCTTGAATATTCAAATTTGGAATTAATACCTGGAAAGGCCTTATGTAAAACATGTTTAAAACGTTTGAAAGATTCTGCTGATTACTTGAATATGAGTGTTGAGCATGAAGAACCCGTGTATGAGTCTATAGAAAATAATTTAGAAACAATAAATAACGCTTGTAACAATTTAGGTATATCACCTATTGCATTAAAAAACTTAAGTAAAATTCGCCGACCAGTTATTATTGAAAAAAAAGCTGAAGCTATAAGTACTGTAGTAAAAAAAAAACTTTTCGCGGCTTATGAAATTCCTTCATCTTCTTCTAATAGCACACATTTTATTTCTAACGGTAATTATGTCGTTAAAGAGTATGAAAGTTTAATAAATAACTTAAAAATAAAATTTAATGAAACCAATGATACTAGCCAACACATAAGAATTTTAAGTCTGTTGCCTAAATCTTGGTCAGTTTCAAAAATTTGTGAAGAGTTTGGTGCCACAGAATACTTTGTGAAAAAGGTAAAAAAATTAGTCGATGTTCATGGTGTTTTACCTGACATTGTCGTTCAAAAACCTGGTCGAGTAATTGATTCAAATGTAATAAAAAATGTTGATGACTTTTATCATAATGAAGATTATAGCAGGGTATGCCCCGGTATGAAAGACGTTATTAATATAAAAGATGCTGATGGTAAAAAAATTACTAAACAAAAAAGATTGATTTTGTGTAACTTAAAAGAATTATATATAAATTATAAAACGGAAAATCCTAATGATAAAATTGGTTTTTCTAAATTTGCTGAATTAAGACCTAAATGGTGTATTTTAGCTGGAGCAAGTGGTACACATTCCGTATGCGTGTGCGTGATCCATCAAAATATAAAACTTATGATTGAAGGGGCTAAATTAAATTTAGACTTAGTCGATTTAATAAAAAGTATTGTCTGTGATATTAATAACGAAATATGTATGCTCAATGATTGTAATCGATGCCCTGGACCTGAAAATCTCAAACGTCAAATGCTTAAATTAGATACTACCACGATAACTGATCAAATAGTATATAGTCAGTGGGTGCACACAGATCGTACAACTCTTGTCAAAATTACTCAAAATAGAGCAGAATTTTTGGAAAAATTAGTAGAGCAGCTACCTATTGTTAAAAAACACCATTTCATTTCAAAAGCTCAGTCTACGTACTTACGTGAAAAGAAAAACTCTCTTGCTGTAAATGAGTGCATTGTGTTAGGCGACTTTGATGAGAATTTCACGTTCGTGATCCAGGATGAAATTCAAAGCTACCACTGGGTAAATTCTCAAGCAACTTTACATCCTTATACAATTTATTATAAATCTAATGCAATTGATTCTTTACAAACAAAAAATTATTGTATTATTAGTGATCATTTGACACATAATACAGATGCGGTTTATGTCTATCAATCTCACTTAATTAAAAAACTAAAAGATTTCATGCCAAATATAATAAAAATTCACTACTTTTCTGACGGAGCTAGCAGCCAATATAAAAATTATAAAAATATGGCCAATCTATGTTATCACACAGCAGATTTTGGCTTAGAAGCAGAATGGAATTTTTTTGCGACCGCACACGGTAAGAGTCCATGCGATGGTATAGGTGGTACAGTTAAGCGATTGGTCTATAAAGCTAGTTTGCAAAGAACTTCGAATAATCATATTCTTACGCCAAGAGCAATGTTTGATTATTGTAAATTAAATATAAAAGGAATTGAGTTCTTATATATAACTGCTTTAGAGGTACTTTCACTTGAACACCACTTAGGTGAGCGGTATAAAACTGCAAAAAAATGTCCTGCTATTCGTCAACATCACAGTTTTATACCTGAAAATGGAAATTCTCTGAATTATAAGATAACTTCAAAGTCCACCAAATCCAATACTATAAAAATTTTGTAAATTATAAGAACAAAATAATTAGGTATAATATAAACAAAAATAAAACTTATATGTATGTATAAATAGAATTAAATTATATTTTAGAATAAATTAAAATGAAATATATAATAAAAATTATTCTCTATTACACTCAAAAATATAACACATTTTATTATACTTTTAGAATAATAATGTAGTATTTTATTTTCGTGCAGAATAAATGCAAAAAATAAAAATTAAATGTTGAAAATTACGTAGTTTGTGGATTTTCCATAATACGCAAATTGTAAATTTTGTAAGTTCTATAAGTGGCGTTAAAATTATTTCTCCATCATCAAATTTTCACCAGACGTTTTAATTGCCTAAAGGTAAGTACTATGTAAATTTGAAAAAAATTCGTTCAGTCACTTTTGTGTAATGAGATGATAAAGTTGGCTATTTTCAGCAAACCACGCGTGTTCAAGACCGTAAAACGATACAAAAAAAATTATAAACCGATTCAAATATGATATGGGTTAAAAGAATATAACTAAAAGTTTCTAAAAAGAAAAAAAAAATTGTAATTAAAAAATTTTTTGACCTTCAAATTTTGCTATTAAAATACTGCAAAATTTAAAAAATTTAAATCAAAATTTCGATGTTCAAAAAAATTCAAAATTCATAAACTTAAGAATGAAATTGAAGTACTATTTAATATGAGTAAAACAGTGCTAGTTCCACAATGATAGCTTATTTGGATGTGAAGTTATAGACTCTAGAACATAGGCTGTTTTTTCATGTTTTTAATTATAAAAAATGCACTATCTGGTAAAAAAACAATAATAAAAAAAAAAAAATATTATTTTTGTTGTCAATGACCTTTAAGAAGTCTATGATATAAATTTCATAAATTTCTGAACTATACCAGCACACACATTAGGTGATTTCACATGGAATGACCCTATTATTAAAGAATTCTTTTATATTGAAAAACATTATATTTTAAAATAGTAAAAATTAATTTGTATTAATATAAAATTCAAAATATATTCAATAAATTGCAAACAATCATAGAACGTATACGTTCTTCTAACAATAAAATTTTGGTCGTATAATCTAATAGAACACTGGAAATTATTTGATGAATGTATATGTTCGACGATCGGATGATTCAAAGACCCCCTGTGGTTTCTCACGGAGAGAATTTGTGTTTCTGTTTATGTTTTTGATTTATTTTGCCCCGATCCATAGTAAAGTCTTGCCTCCACTTCCAATCAGCAATCTGTATACTGAAATACACATTTATTATAGGGATATTCTCCGCAAAAGGGTTTAATACAATCTTACACAAAGTTTTGAATTTTACCAAGTATTAATAAAGAAATGAATAAGAATGTGTGAGGCTCGATGCTTTAGACTATATAAGTATTATAACATTAACACAGTAATATATTATATAAGTTAAAAATGAAATTACAACAAATACATTTGTAAATTTATTTGTTGTAATTATTATTATACATCTTTTACATTAAAAGAAGTTTATGCATAGTATTTATATTAAATCTTTAAATCCTAATTTTTCATAATCATTTTCAATAATTTTATAACAAAAGGAATTCATTTCTGAGCAAATATCTTCAAAAACTGAAAAATCATATACGGCCGATAAAATCTTCAGACTAAATGTACTTTTCAGTGTTGAAGTATGTGTAAATCCTTGTGAAAATTCGCATCGGTTTTTTAAGTGTTGACTCATTTCATTACGTACACCTTTATATAGTTTGCTAAAATACTCGTATAATTTGTCAATATACGTCATAGCTTCAACTTCATTCATCATTTTTGATTCAGATAAAACAATATTGAGAGCGTTTATGTCATAAACATATTCCGTTATAATACTAGCTAGCTTTTTTAAACAATTTGGGGCTTTTATGTTATATTCCCAAATACATAATTTTTTTAGTTTTGACATTATAAATAATAAGGCTTTAAACATATTAACTGACAAAGACACTGAATTGCGGAGTCGGTTAATACAATAAACAGAGTGATTAACAGTAATGCTAAAATGATCATTTCTACATGTGCTTATTATAGCGGCTAAAATTATGTGATGGTTTTTAAGTATTTCAACATATCTGCACCTCAGTAATTGTCCAAAATATATATATTTTCTTTTAATGTTTCCTAAATTCATAGTTTCGTACACTTCAATTGCGTCTATTTTTTTATAATTTTCTATGACAATTTTAATATTCATAAATGGCTCAAAATAACGTTTTGCAAATAATATGTTTAGTGCAGCAATCTTAAAACGATCAGTAATAACATTCAATGGTGGCACAAGTCTATAAACATAAAATTATATTATTATTTTCATAATATCAAAATGTTTTCATATTTCCACTTGATATTCACAATTATGATGCTCAAAAATAATAAAAAATATTCTAAACGGTTCAAAAAAAAAATTTTTTTTTGAATTTTTGCTAATAAGTTATTTTTATAAATTGTAGAGCAATTATTGTGTAAAAGTTTTGATGAAGTCATTAAAACGAAATTTGAATATTATTATAAAACTATACATTTGTATCAATATACATATGTTTTAATTTTATTCGGCGAGTATAATGACAAAAATTTTCGTTATATAAACCATTGGATTTAGATTTACATTTTTATCGAGTGGGCAGGGAATGGTAGGTCGTAAGCCTTTATTTGTATTGTATACTAGACGTCGAATGGTACGACACATCAAAAGTTTTTATTATTATGTAAAAGGTACAAGTAAATTCGAAGAAATACTATCCACAATACAAAACATTAAGTATAGTATTTTATTTTAATTTAAAAGATCCCATTATATCGACCGTTCATAGAAAAATGAACTTAATCTCCTGCTCACATATTTAGCCTTTTTAGGGTATTGCAGCGAATACCATAAATTGTACAATTTTAATTTATGTAATTTTATGTGTTTTTACTTGTGAAATATTAGTATCATTATTATTAAATAACTAACATTAAGTAGCAACGCTGATACACCATTAACATTTGTCGGAACTCATTAATAATCAGTTATTACTAATCATAGTAATAAGCTTAAAGCTAACTTTAGTTCTTATAATTTTAGTAATTATTAACTTTACCCAGGTACAGTTGGATGTAATAATTCTTTAAATCCAAAATTCTCATTCTCATTTTTGATATTTATTTTAAAAAATATTATGAGATCATCATAAATAAATTGAACAAAACTTTTATCTATTTCTTGCTGTAACACATATTTTTCATTGTACTTTTCAAGCAAATATTTATGAAAAATATTACTAGTCATATTGCTGTTTGCATCTAATAATGGAAGATTATGAAGCTTATTAGTTGCTTCAATATGAAAATGTTTGATATTTAAAAGATCCTTGCAGGCATCATCTGTATCAAATTCACCATTTGATGTTATATAAGTAGACGCACACGGTTTTGTTTTTGATGAAGTGTATGTATAAACATTATGAATTTCGTTAATTATTGTATAGGGCGCTACATATTCAGAAAATATGGTCTTGATTTCTAATTTATTGATAAATATCAAAATATCATATAAAGTTTGAAACATACCATTTGAATTACAAACAACTTCTTGAATTAATTTAGTGCACTCAATAAATTTATAAAATAATTTTTTATTATAATAGTTTTCACATTCATTTATCATTATCGTTATATAGCAGTCATATATTTGCAATAATTTCGCATATCTACAGTTAATTGAAATTAATATGGAGCTAAATATATGAGAAGTAAAATTATCGACATCAATATTTTTTTTAAATGATGTATTTAATAATTTTGTAGAATCGTCTGTCTTCATTATATTATCCCATAAATTAAATTTTTCTTGAAATTGAGTATGATATATAATGTGATTTACAACCTCAACTAAGTATAACTTGAATTCAATTTTACTATAATAATTCGTTAAAACATATTTCAAACTCCATAAAATTGAAACACTAAAATAAAATTTTAGATTCATTTTTATATTAAAATGTAGAATCAATAATTATTAATAAAAGATGTAAAAAACTAATTGAGTTGCAAAAGTTTTAAAACATTTTAAAAAATTAATAAAAATTTGAATGACAATATAATGCTTGCCTTATTTTTAACTTAAAATAGAAACCTATTAAAATATGACAAAGTTTGTTTAAATAGACAATATTTACCAGTTAACAGCAAAAAATAGCGATATTTTTAAGTTTTATAACATTTTTCGTTACAAATGAAGTACGTACTCATTTTTAAGCTTTGGTACGTAGCTGAAGAGCTATTTGTTTCATTTTGCCGTTTTTTTGTCCATATAAAATATGACTCAACTCCTGCTGAACTAATTTTGTTCAAATTGAAGTTATCAACGAAATAATTTTGAAAAATTCCCCTCAATTATGGTAAAATAGAGAAATTTACAAAAGATTACAGTTATAAAACAGTTAATGTTAATCATTTCACTTTTTATTGATAATACTTCTTACATTGTCTTGTTGTTAACACAGTTTTTTTGAAAATACGATAATTTACAATAGTATCGTGGGAGCTTACGAAACATATCAGATTTTATTTTTTTCAATTTTTGATAATGTTTCAAAAGACCTACTTTCTATAGACCTACATTAAAATAAAACTAAAACAATTTACTTTAAATTAAAAAAAGAAAAAATTTTCTATAATCACAATTTCTAGAAGTTATTGTATTTAAAAAAATATACAATTTTCAGAAAAAATTACCAATTTTGTAATATTTTGTTTACATTTTCATCTAAGTTTAGCTGAAAAGGTTTTAGCTTATGCAGATGATACTATGTGATTACTTTTTTTTGTGTGTTCTGGGTATGAGTACTGTACTCCTACTTCATTAGAGGAGGACATAAAAAATGTATTAATATATTTATTTAATTATATGTATATTATATACTGTTCAATACCCTCTCCCATGTGTTATCAGTCGGCTTGGGAAACTACGGTTATGTTAAAATAAGTTCTCATCATCGGATCATCTTCACACTTTTTCACACAAACATTATAGTCATCATCGTCAACATCATCATACTGTAGTATAATTATTAACAAATGTACTTAATATCACATATATATGAATAAAGCAAAAAATCATCTAAAGAATGTTTCCCTTTTAGGGTAATAAAAATAACTATTTATCAACACATGTTTCAAACCAGCCCTCTACAATTCATTAACTACGCCCACGGCAGGGTTTCCATCACAATTAACCAATCACAAATAACACTAGTTTACAAATAAAAAAAAATTTTCTGACCTATGACTTATGATAGTCATTTTTTATGTAAAACCTTCCACTGAGTCCGAAAATGAAGTCCAAAATACAAAAAGTAGAACAGTTTTTGAGTTATTATGAAATTAGCGTTTTTCGTGTACCGCGAAAAAACGTTTTCATTATATTCTAAATATCTTTAATTGCATTCAACACTTTCAAAAGTTAAGTTGAAAAAGTTAATTTTTTGTGAAAAAGTTGTCACTTTGAATCCCCCCTATGGGCTGGTAAAGGGTTAAATTTACAAAAAAATTATATCCAATGATAGGTAATGACATCAAGCATCTATAAAAAAAAAAACCCAACCCAGCACAGGGGTGTCGCGGCACAGTGATGCCGTGGTATAGTTGGATCAAGTATAATGATATCTGACAGTAATTAAAATCACTATCAAAAATAAACACTTCGATGCAAATCTTTAGATAGTGTTTAATTTTAAAAAAAATTGGTGTTTTATTCCAAAAGCTTCTTGATCTGCTGGTTCCTTATTAATATCTCGATTAAGATAAAATATGTCAAATGAAAAGGGTTTATTAAAAAATATTATTTCTCATAAAAAAAATTGTGTGGATCCATAAACTTTTCAATAAGTTATAGCATTATAAAGTTAAATATAATATAAATAATACAATCGAGAATTTTCACACGAAAATAGCATTCGGTAGCCATTTTCGCCGTGAAGACAAGTCCAGAGGTCAAATTTTTTTTTTTCAAATTAAAGTATATTACATAAGCTTCAATTTAAGATATATATAAAAGTGTCAGACCTTCCGGAACACTTTCAAAAGTTAAGTTGAAAAAGTTCTACTTTCTATATGCATTTTTTATATTTGAAGCCCCCCCATATATAGGGAAATAGTCTGATTTAAAAAAAAAGTATATCCAATGAAAGATGTATATAAATACTACTTCTCATGAAAAAATTGTATTGATCCATACATTTTTTAAAAAGTTATAGCACTTTAAAGTAAAAAATGTAAATTATAAAATCGAAAATTTATGGCAGTTTTAAGAAAAAAAAAGTGAAAAAAATGACAAAATTTATCGATTTTTAAATTTGTAATTTTTTTGGATATTTTCCCCATTTGTGGGGAACGAGGGAAATTTTTTCAATATTTGAGGGTAATGTCTTCGACTAAATTCGATTTGTGAACTTTTGACGTATCATTGAAAGAAATCGGTTTGGTGAGAGCCGAGAAAAAGTGGTAACAGACACACAAAAAAAAAAAAAAATACATCATAGTAGATATTCGCATCGAAGCTAACTTATTAAAATTTTTAATTACATAAAATAAAAAATTTTCCTTTTATAAAATTAAACAAATCAGAAAAATGTATATTAGATTGATAGTATGCATTTCTCCGTAATCGCTAAAACAAAATGTTTTAGTAATTAAGACGAAATGTACTGAATTTTCGGTGACAGTACCGTAGGTAATCTCATTTTTGTGTTGTACGTTCTTAACAATAAGTCTTTACTTTCGTATACTATTTTATTGTATTTTAAGTATTTACACGTTTCATAATATCTTTTAATTATGACATTTGCGTCATTAATGAACTATTTTTCCTTTTCTATTATTATAAGTAAAGACATAAGGAGTTTCTCTTTAAAACACAGCTGGGTATTTTAACGATACGTCCTTGGTAGTAACTTAAAGAGTAATTTGTGTTGGTAATAGTTGAGTACCTTTAGTCTTATTACTCTTTTGACTTATGGCTGATAGTCGTGAACATACGCCTTTGTAGTGCTACGAGAGAAAAGGTTTATTCTTAAGTCAGTTAGGATTAAAAGCTTTACTGATTTATAAAGCTACTGGGAAATACTATAGTTCCATAATCCTACACATTTAGATGTTCTCTATATATGATCTTTAACATCGCATAACCCAGAATGACACTACATTGCACACCAGGGTAGTTTTAATTATAATAATCAATTGCATAATTAAATAACAAATGACTAGACGTTTTTTTAGTAAAAAAAAAAATTTATAATATAATTTATAATACATACTATAAACAGATTATCTACAATATATTTTCGAAAGTATTAGGAATAATACTACATAGTACATAGTTAATGATTAAACTAATATATACAAGATAATTATAAAAAAAAAAATGTAATTAGTTTAAGAATTGACTATGTACGCAATATAGTTTATTTTTCTGTACTTATACAGTAGCAACTCTTTAGATGTAATGACAAATTATAGATTATAGTTTTATCATGCACGAAATATGAAAAATTTACTTGGTGTACACTGTACATAACCAAATTAAATTGTTATACGTAAAACAAATATTTAAGAATTTAATGCGCATTCATGTTATGGATAATTTAACAACAACTGTGGTTTAAAATTCTTAGGTCTGTTGTCTTAATTTCCATATTTATTAAAATATTACATAATTAATATTGTTAATTTAACATATAATATATATTTTTTGTTATTGATGAGTAACTAATTGTCACTACTCGTTTTTTTTTATCCATTAAAATAATTATAATAGATAAGATCATTTATTTGATTATTAATCATCTAATCTCCCAATAAAATTGACATTAGATTTAAACACTACCATTACTGTACTTCTAATTAATTCTTTTACTAGAACGTGGTTAAACAGTTCTTAATAGAATTATAAATTAACGCTCAACGACACTACAAAGAGTTCAATTTTTCTCCTTTTAGCTTTGATGTGAAGGTATTAATTTTACCATGATGTGTTTATTTTTATTTATTTATTTTTGTGTGTCTGTCACTATTCTTTTTCAGCTCTCAGTGGACCGATTTTTCTCAACGATATGTCAAAAGATCACAATCGTATCTAGTTGAAGACATTACCCTCAAAAATTAATATTTTTCCCTCGTTTCCCGTAAATGGTGAAAATTCCCCCAAAAATTACGATTTTTAAATCGGTAAATTTCGAAAAATTGTTTACTTTTTTTCTAAAAATTACCATAACTTATTGAAAATGAAAAAACAAAATAATTTTTTTTTTAAATTAAGACCTTTGATATTTTGATATTTTAAAATGCTATATTTGTGTTTGAATTTTCAACTTTAAATTGCTATAACTTTTTGAAAATTAGTTATCGACGACCGGGGTACCATTTAGCAGTCGTTTATCTGAATTTGTTTAAACATTGTTATTATTGACAAGTGATGGATGTTAAATTTTAATTATACTTTCATTTTTACATAAATAATAACGCAAATATTATGAAAATATTTAATGGTCAGAAATTTTCGTGGATTTTTTGTTTTTTTAAGAATACATACTTATTACAAATATGATTAGATAGCATACATTTTATTCGAGAGCGGCAGTATAGTAACACCTTCTTTTTAGTAGCTAATTTTTTAGTAGTCGACGAAAATTATATAATCTTACTCCGAAAATGATCATGAAAAATGTCAGTATGAATTTAAAGTTTACCGGTCCTCAATTTATTTATACATAGTATAATTTATCATTCATACATTAAGTGTCAATTGCGAGTTTTATAGATTTAAGATTGATTATAAATATATTTATGATACATAGAATTCTCCTTGCATAATACATTTACTATATGTACTAAACTTAAATTAAAATTAAATTTTATGTAAACATTTTGACATAACATTTTTTTTTTCTAATATTTTCAATATAACATAAAATTTGCTATATATTATTAAGGAAAAAATGAATTTACAATTACCCACTTGGCCCCATCACCAAGTATAGTATTTTTTAAATTCAAAAATAAATATTTAAAATTTTCATTTTTTGCACATACGTGGTTTTTTTTAGGTCTAGCTTAATTAAAGATTTGTCGTAGATAATGAATTTTGTCGGAATGGTAGAAAAATGATATATGATAAAGCGATAAATGTAAAATGACATTTATTTTACGATGCCTATATCCGTTTATGTTTGATAATCGGTATAAATTAATGTGTGTATAGATAAATTCGTTTATGTGAATTATTTTTTGGTAATATCTTTCACAAATTTTATACTGAACAAATTAGAATTTACATTTAGTTAACTCTTATTTCTTGCTTCATTGTGTATTATAACGTTACACTGAAAGTTATAATTTCTAACAAATGTGTTGTTAACAGTATACTTGGATATTTAAACTTTACAACGTTTTGTGTATTTTATGAAATACACGTTACTTCTAATATAGTCACTACTATTTACTTTTATAGATTTCACATGGAGTGTTGATATCCAAAGATAGTTGTATAAACACGGCAGTAGGGAGAAGTATAGGTATTACAAAATGGTGGTGCTAATACCTTTAACTATATACATTTTGTGTTAATTTGAATAATCGTTGAGTAAAATACGGACCCTCAAAAAATAACATATGTACATAGTTTTTATTTTAATGATGTAAAAATAAAATTAGTATTACAGTAAAATTAAAAAAAAAATAGAAGCCTTATGGTTTCTAACTTAAAAATAATGCTGAGTAAATGTTAACTAAATAAATAAACTACGTCTTATATTAAGATGAGTGTAATATTGATACTGCCATTTACTTTTTACTGTTAATTGATGTTTCTACATTTTATATAAAAATGAATTTAAAATTTTATTTTAGTGTTTCAATTTTGTGGAGTTTGGAAAATGTTTTAACGTCTTATTATAATTATACTGAGCTCAAATTATACTTAGTTGAAGTAGTAAAACACATTATATATCATGATCAAATTCAAGAGAAATCAGATTCATGGGATAATTTAAATACAACCGACGACTCTACAAATTTATTAAACAAATCATTTGAGGAAAATATTAATGATCTTAATATTACACATCAACTATTTAGTTACATATTATTTTCAATTAACAATAGATATACTAAATTTTTAAAAGTTTATAATAGTTATATAACGATAATGATAAGTGAATGTGAAAATTATTACAATAATAAATTATTCAACAAATTTATTGAATGCACTAAATTAATTCATGGTGTTGTTTTTGATTCAAATGGTATGTTTCAAACTTTATATGACAATTTGACATTTATCAATAGCTTGGAATTAAATACTATAGATTCTGAATACGTAACGCCATATACTATAATTAATGAAATTCGTTATGTTTATAATTACACTTCATTAAAAACAAAATGTAAATTTAAAAATAACATACATAAACGTATGTTTATGTATACAAAATTAAATGGAGATTTTGATACGGAGAATGCCTGCAAGGATCTTTTAAATATCAAACAATTCCATACTACAGTAAATAATATGCTTAGTAATCTTCCACTTTTAGATACAAACAGCCATATAACTAGTAATTTTATTCATAAATATTTGCTAGAAAAGTATAACGAGAAATTCATATTACAGCAAGAAATAGACAAATGTTTTATGAATTTTATTTATGATCATCACATGACATTCTGTAAAGAAACTATTAAAAATGAGAATGAAAAATTTGGGTTTCAAGAATTATTAAATCAAACTTTACCTGGGTAATGTAATATTAACTCAAATTATTGAAAATTAAGGTTATTATGATTATTTTTAGCTTTCAAACATAGGTTATGTTATTTTTAGTCCGTATATACGACATTATTGAATCCATTTTACACAAAAATACTTAACAAAATCATAAAATTTATCAGGTTGAAACTCTCAAATAATTTTGATGAATTTTCCTCAGTCCCAGTAATAAAGTGAAATTCCCTAAAAAAATTCCAGTTAAAATTTTAGTTGATAGACAAACTACTGTAACTATTTGAATAATGTTTAATTCAAAATACATTAATAGTGTTAATATTTAAGTCAAATATCAAAAGCATCTGCAGAAAGTTTTCATGGGGGAAGCGGAAATATTTTTTAAAATATTTGGTTTCACTGACTGCTGAAAAGATCCAGTGTTGTAAGAGGATGGCTGGGGTCTTTATTGGAGCCTTTGTCATAGCCATAGCAAAAAGGAAATCAGCCTCTTCAGTTAACCAATTAGATCCTCACAAATTTAAGAATTAATAGAATATGTATGTAATTATGTATATGTATTTATAATGTTTTTTAGGGTAGAGATAAAATACAATGTACATCCTTAAAAATGTTATTTTAATAGGCACCTTTGGACCGATTTTTTGGTAATTGTATGCATTATTTAAAAACTAAGTTAAATTAAGTACAACATTTTAAAATAGAAAACACAGAATTTTAACACAAAAATAGCATATTTTTGAATACGCTAGACTTTTCACCAAGAAGAAAATCTATATTTCGAATTTTTTTTTTTATAGTGAAGTATATAATATAAGCTTTAATTTAAGATTAAATAAAAATGTCAATATTTCAGGAACATTTTCAAAAATTACATTGAAAAAACTTAACTTGTGTGCAAAAATTGATTTTTTGAATTCCTTTAGTGGACAGGTTTAGAGTCAGATTTTCAAAAAAATTATATAAAATTAAAGAAAAATAACTAAGATTTCAATATAAAAAAAATAATTTTAATTAGTCAATTTTTCAAAAAGTCCATTTTTCATGGCAGTTTTAAGAATTAAAATATTTCATGCTAAACAGTGATTTTTACACAAAAATTACATTTTTCGTTAAATTCGACAGCCATTGTCCTACAAAAGAAAAGGTGACGGGACAAATTTTTTTTCGAACTTATTGTAAGCTTTAATTTGACATACGTTTAAAGATTGCGGTATTTCCGGAACATTTTCAAAAGTTAAGTTGAAAAAGTTAGTTTTTAAAAAAAATTGCTATTTTAAATCCTTCCCTGTGAGCAAGTTAAGTGTTAATTTTTTTTAAAAAATGATATCAATAGAAAGGGAAGTATCTAAGGTTTTAATAAAAAAAAGTTGTTTAATTAATTTAAAAAAAAAAAGTGAAAATATTTAGCGATTTAAAAAATTGTAATTTTTTTGGAAATTTCCCCCATTTATGGGGAACGAAGACATTTTTTTCAATTTATAAGGATAATATTTTCAACTAGATAAGAATTGTAATCATTTGACGTTTTGTTGAAAAAAGTAGGTGAAGTTAGAGCCGTGAAAATAAATGATAGTCACAAAAAAATACCTTCTCAGTTTTGCATCGAAGCTAAAATCTAAAATATAGTGAAATTTTTTTTTTTTAATGTCTTAATAAGCATGGAAGCATTTTACGACTGTAATTTTAACCATTGTCAGATATCAATAAGTGTTAATTTAAAAAAAATGTCTCAACTCTACTCTACGGAATTCCTAATGTACTTGTTAACTTATATTATTTATATGTTCTTTCTATTTAGCTTTAGCTTTACATCAATGATTAATAATAATTATTATTATTATTTGTTAATTGATAAATTCCGACACATATAAATGGTGTAATAGTTTGCTTATATGTATACTGTAATACTATTAATATTAGAAATTTAATCTAATGATAAATCCAAAAGTTGAAAATAGTACTTTATATTTTTATTATTTTAGCAGATATTAAGTTCTAAAATTATATAAAACTACTGTACCATTAAGAATGAAATTATTTTTTGATTATAGAATCGTACCACCATTGATACTTCAAAATACTGAACTTAAGATTGCTGCACTAAACAAATTATTTTCAAAACGTCATTTTATGGAGCCTTTTAAGAATATTAAAATTATCATAAAAAATCGTGAAAAAATAGACGCGAGTATATTATTTCAAAATGAAGTGAACTCCGAAAACTTAAACCAAATAGAAAAATATTTTGAACAATTTATAAGGTGTAGGTATACCGAAATACTTAAGAACTATGAATGTTTATTGTCCACCATAATCAAATTTTGTAGAAATGAAGAATTTAAAGGTACTATTAACATATATTATAAACAGTCAGTAGAATGCATAAATCAACTGCGCAATTCAGTATCGTTGTCTGTTAATATGCTAAAATCTTTATTATCTGCTTTGTCAATACTAAAAAAATTATATATTTGGGAGTATTCTAAAAATGCACACAATAGCCTGCATATAACAGCTACTATTTTAACGGAATTATTTTATTATTTGAAATATCTAAATATTGGTCCGAATGAAATTACAAAGACGATGAATGAAGTAGAAGCAAAAATATATCTTAACGAATTATCTGAGTTCCATGAGAAATTCCAAAGTGGTTTAAAAAATGAAATGAATCGTACCAAAAAATTTCGTTGTGAATTTTTAGAGAAATATAGAAATACTGCGTCATTGAGAATTCATTTTAATAATCTGAAGGAATCAATTAAATATGATGGTCCAGTTTATGAACTTATTTGCTCATATTTAAAAACATTTTGTAATCAAATTATCAACACTGATTACGAAAATCTAGGGTTCAAAGATTTAATATAAGTTTTTTTACAAAATTTTTTTTTTGTAATAATTTATATTTAACTTATAATAAATATTATCGTGTTAATGATGTATGGCTAAATAAATTACTATTATTCATCTCTTTTTTAATACTCATGAAGATTTTAAAGTCTTTTTCTAAATATAAGTTACTAATTGTAATAATCAAAAATAAGACGGAATTATTAAGTGAGAGATATAGATATTAAGAGTACAGTTCATAAACCCACACAGCAATGAAATATTACTAGATTATTTCTTTTTGAAATTAAAATATTTCTAGAATATAATTAGAGTATTTTTAAATATTCTCCCATTATTATTATATGAATATTTTTTAGAATCCTCGTATAGTTGTTTAATAAATGGTCATAAAAAAAAAATTAGTTAAATATAATTATGAGTAATTAAATTTTTTATGGCTAATAAACGCTAAAATAAAAAAGATTTAATATAAAGGAAAAGTCTTAAATATTAATTATTTTTCATATAATTAACTATCCTTTTCATTTCAAACGTTAACAATCCGCTCTAAAATTTGTATGAAAAATTAGCTGCTAAAATCTAAAATTTCTATTAAGATTTTAAAATTTTTTTAATTTTTCTTTATAAACAATTATATTGTAACATTTTATAACAGTTATGGTAATCTCTATAATTTCAATACTATGATTTCAATCTATATAGAAGTTCACTATACTAGTTCCCACTGTACTTGTCTATTATTGGATTTTTGTTTATTTATGGTATTTTAAGTATAGATGATATCTGACAGTGATTAAAATCACTATCATAAGAAACGCTTCGATGCAAATCTATATATAGTGTTTCCTTTAGAGAAATTGGTGAAATATTTTAAAAGCAAGATCAACACTTATTTCTTTAATTATATCCTGATTCTTTGATTTTAAAATATAATATATGAATAAATACTAATTATAGTTTTTAAATTTAGTATGAAGTTATGAAGCCAGCTATGATGTATGGTTCATAGTGTTGGGTGGTTGATAAGAAAGTAGAGCAGAGAATAAGAAAAAATAAAATAAAAAATAGATGAAGGGATGCTATTGAATGCGATTTGAGGACAGCTGATGTGAGCGTAAAAGATGTGGGAGATCGTGTCAAGTGGAAGCTTAGGATAAGGGTGCCCGACCCCGAGTAGTTGGGATTAAGGCAAAAATATACCAAATGATAAGTAAAGACATCAAGCATCTATATAAAAAAAAATTATATTTATATGTTCATTTTTGAAAAAGTTATAGCATTATTAAGTTAAAAATATAAAAAAACATTATTTTACAAAAATCGTAATTTTTTATTAACTTTGATGTCTATTTTCACCACGAAGACAAGTCTAGAGGTAAAATTTTTTTTTTCAAATTATAGTATATTACATAAGCTTTAATTTAAGATATATATAAAAGTGTCAGTCTTTCAGGAACATTTTCAAAAGTTAAGTTGATAAAGTTCTACTTTCTATACGCATTTTAATAGGTTTGCACCCCCCCTGTATAAAGGGAAAAGGTCTGATTTAAAAAAAAAAGTATGTCAAATGAAAGAGGTATATATAAAATATTTATTATTAAAGAATGGAATTGATTCGTGCATTTTTTAAAAAGTTATAGCATCATAATGTTAAAAAACCAATACCTTCTCAGCTTCGCATCGAAGCTAAAATGAAAAATATAATATCAAGAATTTTATCAAAAAAATTGCACATTTTTGATACGGTAGTCATTTTCACCATGAAGACAATTCCAGAGGTCAAATTTTTTTTTTTCAAATTAAAGTATATTACATTATCTTTAATTTAAGATATATATAAAATTGTCAGTTTTTCCGGAACATTTTCAAAAAATTAAGTTGAAAAAGTTAATTTTTGTAAAAAAGTTATTATTTTGAAACCCTTCCTGTGGGCTGTTAAAGGGTCAAATGTTCACAAAAATATATAAAATGATAGGTAAATATCTAAGGTATCTATAAAAAAAAACCAGCACATTGAGGTGGCGGTACAGTGTGGACGAGGCACAGATGGGACAAGTATAGATGATATCTGACAGTGATTAAAATCACTATCATAAGAAACGCTTCGATGCAAATCTGTAGATAGTGTTTCATTTAGAGAAATTGGTGGATTATTCCAAAAGGAACATCAACTCTTATTTCTTTAATTATATCCTGATTAGCAGTTCTTTGATTTTAAAATATAATATATGAATAAATACTAATTATAGTTTTTAAATTCAGTATGAAATTATGAGCCCAACTATGATGTATGGTTGTTAGTGTTTCATAGTGTTGGGCGGTTGATAATAAAGTAGAGCAGAGAATAAGTGTAGCAGAGATGAGAATGCTTAGTTGGATGAATGGAGTGACTAGAGAAGATAGGATAAGGAACGAGCATATAAGAGGAAGTATAGGTNTGAGCAAATAAGAGGAAGTATAGGTGTTGCGTCAATCGTGGATAAGATGACAGAAAATAGACTTAGATTGTTTAGTATGAGGAGAGAAGAATTGGAAGCTGTAAGAACAGTTGAAGGAAAATATAAATGAATTTTGAAGGAAGAAGAGATAGAGGAAGACCAAAAAAGATATTTAAATATTTAAACAATATAGCGTCAAATCAATTACCTACTCTATCGCTTGTATATTAATATACACTACACATTAATGATACAATAAATAAAAAAACTCACACATACACACATATGCATTTATAACATTGTGTCTAATGTAAGTATAACATGATAAAAAGTAACCGTAAAATGAAAAAAATGGAATATAAATTTTAGTACTCATATTAAATGTAATGTAACTCGAAAAATATTTGTTTAAATGAAAAAATATAGGATAATTTTTTTGTTTATAATTGTCTTTTAAACAACTTTTGTACGAAACTTTTTTTTGTAAGTTAAATATTATTTGAGAAAATTAAAAAAGCTCATATTTTTGAACTTTTGCAAGGCTGTAAAAATTCAATTCCAAACAATGAGGACTATTAGTATGTCCTTATACATATTTTAATTCAACTTTTAAAAAAACAAAATTTTATTGGGAATTTTTTCCGCTATATTTCCTTTGTTGACTGGCCTAGATGTCAATTTTAAACTTGTAATTGAGCTAAAAGTTATGGTAATATATTCAATTTTTTTTAATATAAACTTTCATAAATCTTTATCAAAAATTTTTCATCAACTTTAAAGAACCAAAAAAATAGGTTAAAATNAAAAAATTTTTCATCATCTTTAAAGAACCAAAAAAATAGGTTAAAAATGAAAATTTGGACTGATTATTTTTAACATATTAAAAATCAAATCAGTAATAATTTGAAAACAATTTTTTTTTTCTTTTAATTATTATTTTATATGTAATTAGTAATAATATAAAAAATTAGAACTGATAGATAAAGTCTAATTGCAGATTTGAAAACAATGCAAAAAGTTGATTTTTTAAAGTATATTTTTGCTTCTGATGAAAGTTCCTTGTAGTCTAGTGCATTTATTTATAGTAACAAACAGTTTTTATTGAAAATTATTGTATCAAGCCCTTTAAATTTTTATACACGTAAAAGTAAAGCAAAATATAACTTCTTTATTATTTTTATAATTTCTCCGTTTAAATTACAATATTAAATATCAATTTCATACTAAATTTAATAATTATAATTAGTATATATTCNATAGCTGGCCTCACAATTTCATACTAAATTTAAAAACTATAATTAGTATTTATTCATATATTATATTTTAAAATCAAAGAACTACTAATCAGGATATTCTTCCTCTATCTCTTCTTCCTTCAACATTCATTTCTATAACTGTTCTTACAGCTTCCGACTCTTCTCTCCTCATAGTATGACTAAACAATCTAAGTCTATTTTCTGTCATCTTATCCACCTTTACTTCCTCTTATATGCTGGTTCCTTATCCTATCTTCTCAGTCACTCTACTCATCCAACTAAGCATTCTCATCTCTGGTACACTTATTCTCTGCTCTACTTTCTTATCAACCGCCCAACACTATATAACACTAACAACCATACATCATAGCTGGGCTCATAATTTCATACTGAATTTAAAAACTATAATTAGTATTTATTCATATACTATATTTTAAAATCAAAGAACTACTTATCAGGATATAATTAAAGAAATAAAAGTTGATGATGCTTTTGGAATAATCCACCAATTCCCTATTTAAAAAACTAAAATAAAAATTGGTTGGGAATTTTTTCTGCTATTCTCCAAAATTACTCCTTCGTTGAATAGAATGAATCATTAAATAGAAAATTTTATGAGAATTAAAACAATGTTATTTTTAAGATTAATATGAAGTCAGAAAATTCTATAATTACTATTTAGAGTATATTTATCAGAAAAACTCATTATTTTTTTGCATTTTTATCGTAATAGAACACTAGAATAGAAATCATAATATCATTTCTAAGTAATTTTTGGTATTTAAAAAGATTCTACAATTGAAATATCCAGAACTGAAATAATTTTAATGATTTACTTTAACTAAAAAAAAAAAAAGATCATTATTTTGAATCCCTCTTGTGGGCAGGTAAAGGGTTAGATTTATAAAAAAAAACCAAATGATAGAAAAGACATGCATCTAAATAAAAAAAAAATATACTTATTTGGTCACTTTTAATAAAGTTATAACAGTTAACAAAGTAATAAGTTTTATACACTGGACTACAAGGAACTTCCATCAGAAACAAAAATATACTATTCTAAATCAACTTTTCGCGATGTTTTTAAATGTGCAATTAGACTTTTTCTATCACTTCTAAGTTTTAATATTATTAAAAAATAGTATTTACATATAAAAAAAATATAATTAAGAACAAAAAAAATTGTTTTAAATTAATACTGATTTTGATTATTACTAAGTTAAAAATAAGAAAAAAAACGGTAGCACAGTGGGGTGGCGGCACAGTGGGGTCGTGGAATAGTTGGGTCCAGTATAGATTTAATCTGACAGTGATTAAAATCACTATCATAAGAAACGCTTCGATGCAAATCTGTAGATAGTGTTTAATTCTAAGAAATTGGTGGATAATTACAAAAGCTACATTATCTGCTAGTTTCTTATTAATACCCTGATTAAGATAAAGTATGTCGAATGAAAAAGGGATTATTAAAAAATATTATTTCTCATANGCTGTGTACCTGCTAATATCGATGTTATAAAAAACCAATTAGCTACCTATATTTGTAATCCCATGTGTATTATACATGCATATTAGTTCAAAAATTTGAAACTTTAAATGATTATATCTAATAAGCTAATAAAGTTATATTAAAAATTCAAATGCCATTTACTATT